ATGTCAAATGACATGTCCACTCTTTCTCTTTCTACCTTATACGGGATTTTGCTTAACCATGAGCAATCTCGTCAACTGAAAAGAAATCTTGTAAAAGAATCCAGGGAAATGAAAARCTCTCCTTTAGCTTTGATCTCTGAAGCTTCTTCAGTTGAAACTTCTACTCCTTTTGTTTCTTCTCTTCCTCCCATGGTCATCACGAAGATAGATTCTTCTGAGGACATTCCAGAATCTGATTTAACATATTTTGATGAGTCCCTGACACTCCTGACTAAGTCATTTAGGAGGTTCGCCAGCAAAAGAAACTTCCGCAGATCTCCTCAACTCTCCTTCAGGGAGAAGCCAAAGTCTGAAAGAATAGACAAGGCTTCAGCTGTCTGCTACAACTGTCACCGGCCCGGACATGTTGCAGGTGAATGCAGATTAAAGAAGACTGCGACGCCATATTCTAAAGCTTCCTTCTCCTTCAGGACCAAAGATGAAAAATACTTAAAACTGAAGGAGAAATACAAGAAGATGAAGAACAACCAGCGAAAGGGTAAAGGCCTTATTGCTGAAGAGCATGACTGGGCTGAATCATCTGATGAATCATGTTCAAACGAAGAGGATAAAGCCTATGTCTGCTTGATGGCCATTGATGTGGATGAAGGATCTTCTGAAGCATCTACCTCCTCTGAGCCATCTACTTCTTCTACTCAGGTATGCTTCCTGAATGAACCCTCTTCCTCTCCTAGTCTTTCTGCACTGGATACGCTGACGGTTGACCTTTACAATGCCCTCAATGGCAAATCAAAAGCTAAAATGCTTAACGTTGATCTTCAAGAGCAATTGAAGATTTGTCATTCTAAGATCAAAGAACTAACCTCTGTTGAGGAAAATCTTAAAGATCAGGTTATTGTAAACCAAGCCATCACTGTTGAACGTGAGAAAGCTGTAGCTGAGCGTGAGCGAGCAATCACTAAACTCAAGGCTGAGAAAGATACCATTGAAGGGTGGTGCAAACCTTCCCTCAAGGCCTCTGAGATCATTAACTCTCAGATCCCGACCAAGAAAACGACTGGTCTAGGATTCTCCTATGATCAGGAAGAATGTGTTAAAGACAGGTCCATGCTTAAATTTGGTACCTTTGTTTATTCTATTCCTAACACTTCTTCCTCTCAGTCCTCTTCCTTTACTGAGAGTCATCTTGAAGGAACTCCTTTGAGTTCTGGGTGCAAAGACAAAGGTAAATCCACTGTCACAGCATCTCGTCCTAAGAAGTCTAACAAGTCTAATACATCTAAATCTATTCCTTCAACTTGTAAAACTTCTTCTTCTTCTTCTTCTTCTTCTTCTTCTTCTTCTTCTTCTTCTTCTTCTTCTTCTTCTTCTTCTTCTACTTCTTCTTCAGGGACTAGGAAATCTGTATCGCATCAGAAATCTAAGTCACAACTCAGGGTGAACTTTTCACCTAAGGAATCCATTCCCTCAAAGGTTCCT